TTTGTAAAGTAAAAAACCAGTTTTGAAAACTAGTTTTAATTTTAAAGAATATTCTTTTTAAAGCTTTCTAGATCTTTTTTTGGGAAAAAGTAAGCTCAGTTGGATAATAAATAACTTATTATACATTTTAGGGTGGATCACGAGTGGACATTTTTTATCGTCTTTGTATTTTGTCTCCAAAAAATATCCATTCGTATTCCACCCTAAAATGTCTAATAAGATCTATATTCAATATAATGTCATTCTTCAACACAAATTTTATCGAAAATATGACGTTTATCATATAGCCATGACAACATCGTATTATTTCAATTCCGTATTTTCTTCTGATTATTTCCATTCACGTTTGCACTTGACTTTCGATTTGTTTTTGAACCCTCATATATGGACATATAGTGGAACTCTTTTAAAAGAACTTAACTTTTTAAATTAATATTCCCTGTATTTTCCTTGTTTTTCAAAGCTGCCGACATTGCTTTGAATGGAGCATTGSAAATTTTTTGCTATTCAATTACATCCACCTTCACATTACTATCGAGAAATGCTATAATTATGACACAAAAAAAACATCAGTGTAGTAAAAATGAAAGTTGTGGTCATAACTTATGCTGTGTGTTTAATTTTTATAGGATTTACATTGCTAATTATAAATGTTAATTATAAAGGTGATAGTTTAAAAAAAATGCACATCCCCAACCCCYTTCCCCCCAAAAATTGTTGAGAAAACTCACCTTCGCAGAAGACAGGATTCAAAACCACTGTTAAAATCTGCAAAAAATACAAATTGTTTCCTTCTTTTAAGTCGTATTAATTTTCATTTCAAGCTGGTTTGTTTTTATTAAGTTTTCTATGCTCTTCGGATATATTATGCGACGATAAAATGCAAACGCCTATAATTCATCGATCCTTCGGCGCGAAAAAAGTCCTTTTTTGTCGAAGTCARTTGATATTTCCACGAAAACACGATTTTTTAAATTATAGAATGTCTAATTATTGGAATTACCTTGATTATCGACCTCCACGAATCATGTGTAATTGACGACAATATTCGACAGAGATTATCTTAATCATGCTTAAGAAATTTTATATAGATATCATCTAACGTTGGTGTATTAAATATATCAAATGAATAAGAAAAAAACAGCTTAAGCTTTTACGTTTCCACATATCTCAAAAGACATTAAAAAAAAAAAAAAAAACTCATTACAAAGATCTTGCATAACCATGGATGTTTTGAAACATTATTAGTTTGTGGGATTTTGATAGGCTTTATTCTCTCCCGAATGTTTGTTTAAGCTATTTTGTCAAGAAATTTTAAAGAGAGAAATGAATAATTTAAAACGTTTCTCTAATCATCCGAGATCGAGTGAAGTCTACCACACTCACTGTATTTTTTTAGGCTTGGAATTATTCAAAATGTTCAAGCTATCCCCTGCACTTGCATGAATAAATAATAGACCTAATCGGCTAACGTGTTGCTATAAACGTTTCCACCCAATTCAAACCACATGGGAGTAAGTTTCATTGTTCTTTATATTTTGGTTTCACAGTTGAATTCGTAGAGACAAACGCGTCTATTCCCAGAAGGTTTGAATTGGGTGGTAACGTACATAGGAACACGTTAGCCGATTAGGATTTATTATGTACGATTTACTTAAGGGGAAAAAATTACTTGTTGTTTGTACCTTTTTTAGCTTTATATTATATAAGTTATGCTTTATTGAGCTCACAAATCAACCGCAGAAGTTTTCTTAAGGGAAAAAAAAAAAAAAAAAAA